CAATATATGACCCCTTTAATATTTTATCCAAGGCATGAAAATTTACTGCATAACAGTACATACTGTACATAAAGCTTTCTGAAGTGCAGAAGGAAATCCATTGAGCTGCTTTCTCAGCATTTGGAAGTCACTCGTCTCGCACCACATACTCTGCACGCTTCAGCTATTTTCTACGAATTGGTTTTGTAAGGCGCAGAGCAGCCAAGAAACCATTCTTGCGGAACGGCAACAAGCAGAGGAAATTACAGTATGTGGGTCCATTTACCTTTGAGTAACAACCAGTGCCAGAAAGTCCTTTGAAGCAATGAGTGCAAATGTTAAACGGTTGGTTACGATGACGCCTTCTGTAAAGCAGGCACTGTCATTAAATATACAGCAGGTGTATTATAACATAGCCGATATTGTGTTAGATCATTGGACAGGACAAGAAGAAATCATATTATATAATGTTTTATAAATAATAATAGCAAAAACATGACATTCTTTAGTTTTCAAATACCTTGTGCATAAAAAAAGCACTGAATAGCAGATACATCATTAAAAATATGTTCATAATATTTGTAATTTTAACATTTATAATTTAAATATTATATATATATATATATATACACACACAAGATATATAATAAGATGTGGTTGTCGATTATGCAAGCATACATTTTTTTCCATCAGTTTAAGTTTTGTACATGACTTTATTGTGATATTTTGATCAACTAAATATTTACGTATGACAATGATTTCACCCCTTTAATTAATGTATAATATGTTAAACTGATGATTACAACTCACCATGTTACAACACTCACTCTGTCCCCTACATATGCAAACAGCATTTTGTTTTTTTTCTTTTAAGCTCGTTTGATTTGTTTCCTCATTTTTCCTCGACGGCCTTGATGTGAAGTTGGTCCATGATCAATCTGATTAATGGTCACTTTAAGAGATTCTCTCCGGCCTGTTACTTCATCTTTCACTGCCTGAACACAAAAAAAGCATAAAATAGCATAAAGTAAAATAATAAAATAAAATATGGCTGTTATCCTGTTTCTCTTAATTTCCTCTGGGTGTATGTGGATAGAATGAGATAATCAATATCCTCATGCCATTAATCTGTGCATGCACTAATAGGACAAAAAAAAAAAAAAAAACAGCCGATAAAGATGATTTAATGTCGATGATGGTAGTTTTTCAGCATTCTCATTTATCACAACAGGAAATGGTCCAGTTGGAAGAAAAAAGGTATACATTATTTGTGTGTGTGTGTGTGTGAGCTAATGATGAGCTATCATTCTTTAAAGTAAATAAAAGTAGATACTTGATTCTTTAAAGTTTATACTTTTTAGGCCACAGTACAATTATACCTCGTGTGACAGGAGAAACCTGCTCTAAAGCAGGAAGCAGCCCGGTTGAAGCCCGTCGAGTTTCCAGCGCCTGTTTCCACCAGCTGCCCAGCTTACAGTGACCCACCCGGTCTGAGGTGGTCCGGAAACACACTGCTTCTTTTGTGCTGGTGATTCTGGACTCACTGGAGGACCGGTGTCTGGACTGCTGAGAGAGACTGAGCTGCTGGGTGTGGACGGGGCTGGATTGGGAGCCAATAGGATTCTGGAGCTGACGGGATCGCTGGGAGAGATGGATGAGGCTGAGGTCCATATCCACGATGGAGCTTTTAAGGGCTCTTAAGGAACAGGCATGGTAGGGTTCTCGATCATCTGCTAAGAGGTCAGTATGTTGGAGATGAGCCGGGAGGTTGCGCATGATATCTGTGAGGGCGCAGGAAGTGAGGATTTCTGGCTGGTCTACGGCGTCCTCAGGGTCACGGCAGAAGTCTTCCTGGCATTCCTCCACCCGTGAGGGAGACAACGCCCGCTTGACACAAGACCAAAAGACAAAGATCAGTCAAAGACTTTGTTAACAGAGGCAAAACGATTTTTGGTGTATCCATCTGTTTAGATACAGCAAGTATTATTTATTTACACTAAGTATGTAAATAGATAGGTAAACAGACAGACAGATAGATAGATGATAGATATTTTTATGAATTTAAATGTTATTCTTTTTATTTTAATATCATAAAGAATACTGTAAATGAATAAAATAAATAAAAACTGGTGTTCATAATAAATAAATAAATAAATGTATTTTATAATCCTGATCAAAATCGCATTATTGATGCTGCAATATTTTTATTTTTTTATTATTATTATTACTTATTTATTTAATTTTTTTACGGTACGTGGTCATTAAGATGTCACTCACCCTTAACGGCTTCAGCTCCAGAAAGCTGCAGGTTCTTGACGCTTTAGAATCCCGCAGGCGAACAAACTCTGTTTTTGGCTCACTGGGTGAAAAGATCCACTCTTCAGTCTCAGACAGATTCTTGGGCTTAATGCTATCAGCATCATCCACAGTTTTATTGTAAGTAAGCTTCTCTGTGGGGAGAAAAACATATATATATAGTGATCAATGTCATCCCACATGCTCAATGAGGCACTTATAAACCAGGGGTTTTCAAACTGGGGTCCGTGACGCAAAGCCAGGGGGTCCGCAAAATAATTTGCTATACCGTATTTTCCGGACTGCAACTCGCGTTTTTTATCTTCTGAAACATGCTATGATTTATATTCCAAAGTGACTTATATAATGCATTAAATGTCAAATACAAGCTGTGTCTCATTTAGAAGGCTGCGCCCTCCAGAGGGGATGAGGTCAAAGGTCATTTGTTCCTGATGAAATACAAAGCACTATAGTTGACCATGTTCTTCTGCATGGACTGACCATGAGGGAAGTTAGCCTACAGGCTCATCTACAAGGTTTCAATACTGCTTACCAGTGTTGGGCAGTAACGCATTACTTAGTAAGGCGTTATTGTAATTTGATTACTTTTTTAGTAACGGAGTAATTTAACGCGTTATAATTTTCAAAATAGTAATTAGAGTATAGCCTAGTTACAAGCCGAGGTCTCTATACGCTACTGCTGCGTTACATTGCTGACAGAATGCAGTAATTTATAATCTAGAGATTGTAAAAAGGATGTAGCACACGCACTGTCGAGTCAAGTGCCAGTGGATTAGAGACCTGTACGGTGGCCGAGAAGTGCAAAGCAAATCACAATTCTGAAAACAAAATAACAAATTACAAACGCAAATGCAAGTCTAAAAAACAAAATAACAATTCAGAAAGCACAACAACAATTCAGAAAACATTATAACAAGTCAGAAAACACAATGACAAATTCGAAAACAAAATAACAAGTCAGAAAACACAATGACAAATTCGAAAACAAAATAACAAGTCAGAAAACACAAACATCTGTCAATCAACGTATACAGGGAAGAACCAGCCGAAGAACAGCAGAGTCGTGGTAGAAAGTTCGGAGATGGTATTAAAGTAGCTCAGTTTAAATGTATTGTATGAATTGCCCTTACTATGGAATAAAAAATACGGGGTGTCTATTTACATTTAGTTAAAAGTGGCTGTAATATAACAGCTCCAGTGGTGCAGATGGATAAGCACTTATCACTGGCTTTTTGACGCGATCGACCCAGGTTCGATCCCGTTTTTTGCCGAACTTTTTTTCCCTCACTTTTCAAATCTCGTATTAGCAATGGATTCTATTTACACTAAGTGAAAATAGCAGTATGCTGCTTACACAATACACATTCAATATAATTACACTTACAGTACATAGCAGCAGTACTTCAGATGAGAGAACTTTCATTATTCTATGTACAGTAAATACTGTAGTACATGTTGTACACCGTCAAACTCATTACTGTTGGATTGATTTGTAGCCAAGTATGTACTGTATTTGTGCAGAACTGAGAGACGGCTGTCTCGGCGAGGTAGAGAAGTCTTTTATCAGAAGACTTAAAAACTGCTATAACAAATAAGGATACTACCAATACTGTAATGCAAATTGGCAGAGGATGCTGAATGAATGAATTAATTTATTTACAGTAATTATTTATTTATTCATTCATTATTTCTTTATTTCTGTAAAGTAACTGACAGTATATTCCAATGTATGTTTACTGTATATTCAGTTATTTGGTCTTTGAACTTTTCTCTTGTAGTGCTTTTCATTTACTGTAATATCTCTTTACAGTAGTGTAATGACAGTAAACTTTTCTTAAAGTTTATTGCTGAATTTTACTGTATCTGCACCAAAGGACCCATAGCGACCCCTAGAGGACGCAGATCTCACTTCTGTTCAGTAGGCAGGAAAATAGTTTGTGTATTTGGCAGGTCTGTGTGTCATCTGAGGCCAAAGTTCGAGTCTAACAAAAGAGAACATGATTTTGACTAAAGTATTTGATTTTGACCTGAAAGTTTGCATAAGTTGGTGTGTAGTTTTGAGATTGTGTTTATAGTATGTGGAATCACTTTACTGTACAGTAACATTTGTAAACCCTTCAGCCTGAGTATACTATTAAAAAAATTATAAAACAGAATGTTTAAAACATAAACAACTGACAAAATCTTTCCAAAATTATCTGAATGACAAACAAATGTGACCCTGGACCACAAAACCAGTCTTAAGTCGCTGGGGTATATTTGTAGCAATAGCGAAAAATACATTGTATGGGTCAAAATGATTGATTTTTCTTTTATGTCAAAAATCATTAAAGGGGTCATATGATGCGATTTCAAGTTTTCCTTTCTCTTTGGAGTGCTACATACCAATACATCAATGGAAAGCTTATTTATTCAGCTTTCAGATGATGTATAAATCTCAATTTCGAAAAATTGACCCTTATGACTGGTTTTGTGGTCCAGGGTCACAAATATAGTAACATGAAATCATCCCGAAAAAATTAATGTCTATCATGATATTCTGACCATTTTAACTGTCTTGTAAAATGACCTAGTGTTTACTTTCATGTGTCACATTTTTATAGCCAGTGACTAGCATTTCATTAAAGTTAATGTTCATATTTGTTTATAAACCCATCTGTTCAGGTTCTATAAAAACAGAGCGTTTGATGTCAGATGAATAGTGGCTCACCTCCTCTCTGCATGTGGAGCTTCTACTGCGTCACCCTCAGCTGAGTGTGAGATGACTCCAGATACCACACTAGGGAAGATCTTCTCTATAACTTTATAAAAGATGTGTTATTAATGTGGAGCATATCATAACAGTATGGAAGACTGTTTCCACCACAAGATAAAAAAATAAAACAGGTACTCACAATTCTGAGAAAAATGTCAAAATTGTAAGATATAAACTTAGTATTCTGACTTTTTTCTCACAATTCTTGAGTTTATATCACACAGTTCTGTCTCTTTCTCTATCTCACAAGGTACTCACAATTCTGAGAAAAATGTCAAAATTGTAAGATATAAACTTAGTATTCTGACTTTTTCTCACAATTCTTGAGTTTATATCACACAGTTCTGTCTCTTTCTCTATCTCACAAGATATATTCTTAGAACTGCAAGATGTTAACTGCAAGTGATGCAAAGTGATGTCACAACTGAAAGATACTGTATAAATTCAATTCCAAGAAATCGGAATTGAGAGATATAAATGCGCAATTGCGAGAGAAAAGACTGCAAAAGTCACAATAAATTAAATTTTTTTATTATGTGGCAGAAATAAAAACACAGAATTGCGTGATGTAAACTCAGAATTTAAAGAAAAAAAGTCAGAATTACATGATGTAAATTGCAAGAAAAAAGTCAGAATTAAAAGATGTAAACTCGTAATTTATAGAAAAAAGTCAGAATTGCTTGATGTAAACTCAGAATTGCAAGAAAAAAGTCAGAACTGCATGATGTAAACTCAGAATTTAGAGAAAAAAGTCAGAACTGCATGATCTAAACTGAGAATTGCAAGAAAAAAGTCAGAACTGCATGATGTAAACTCAGAATTTAGAGAAAAAAGTCAGAACTGCATGATCTAAACTGAGAATTGCAAGAAAAAAGTCAGAACTGCATGATGTAAACTCAGAATTTAGAGAAAAAAGTCAGAACTGCATGATCTAAACTGAGAATTGCAAGAAAAAAGTCAGAACTGCATGATGTAAACTCAGAATTTAGAGAAAAAAGTCAGAACTGCATGATGTAAACTCAGAATTTAGAGGAAAAAAGTCAGAATGGCATGATTTAAATCATTTTTTTAAGAAAAAAAAAATGAAGAGAACAGTCAGAATTGTGAGATGTAAATTGCAAGAAAAAAGACAGAGATGTAAACTCATAATTTAGTGAAAAAAAAAAGAATTGCTTGATGTAAACTCAGAATTGTGAGAAAAAAAAGTCAGAATTGCATGATGTAAAAGAATTGAGAAAAAAGTCTGAATTGCGCGATGTAAACTCAAAATTGTGAGAAAAAAGTCAGAATTGCGAGATGTAAACTAGGAATTTAGAGAAAAAATAAGAATTGTGTAATGTAAACTTTTTTCTGAGAAAAAAAAATTGTGAGAATTGTAAGGAAAAATGTCAGATTTCTGAGTTTATTAGGCTATCTCATAATTCAGATTTTGAATCTGAATGATGAAATAAAGTGTCTCAGTTACCTTTTTACATTTTATCCCTTGGCAGAAACGGCCTTCCATATTACAGAATCACTACTAAAGAACAATTGGATTCAGCAGTCAACAATCTCACCCACACTTTCCCTGCTCAGGCTGTTAATGGATAGCGCATCTGTGGCGCCGTCTAGAGTGAGGGTTAGATCGGGACAGCCAGAGAACATGTCTGCAGGAGTTTTGTCCTCATCTGGGACGTGGCTTTCCTCTTCTTCAGGCACAGCAGAAGAGTTCTGCTTCAGGAGGATGGGTTCCTGTGCAGATGGGGCTTCAGAGCAGACAGCCGGTGGTGAAGAGCAGGGAGATTTGAAGAAGCCAACAGACTCCATGCTGTCAGGAGATGTCGTGGGAGAGGAGAACACTGGTGAATCATTCATGTCCTCCTGTATGAATGGAAGGATAGAAAAAGTATGACTAGCTTGATGGATGGATGTTGCATTCATTAAATCAGTAAATGAATATGGCTGTATCTGTGAGTCAGTGCACCTCTGGCTGCAGAGGCAGGTCTTCCTCACACTCTTCCTCAACAGCTCTTCGCTTGAACTTACAATGAATGTCAACTGATGTGCTGTTAGCAGCAACATGACATAAGGCCTGAGATGAGAGTTGTGCACTATTCACACTATTCTCCAGGTACTTTGGCAGCAGCAGCACCACCCTAAAAATCAGAAAATAAATAACAGTAAATCAAATCACCTTTTACAAACAGTATACTACTGTTCAAAAAAATGTTAAGCAATGACAGTAGGATGAAACTATATAATTTCAGCTAACATGCCCCAGTATATTTGAGATGAAAGCAGCTGTAGTTTACCTGCTTCAGTTCTTACTGGTGGTTGACCAACTGTTTCTTGCTTCAGTATCTGTGCTTCATTGGGCTGCATATTTTGGCTTTCTATCAGCTGGAGACAAGCCAAACCCTGCCACAACAAAAAAAAGATGGATGGCAAAGAACAAATTTGTTTATACCATCATTTACCAAAATCAGAGTTTACCAGTTATCCCATGCAGGGTGAAAATCATTACAGTATCTAGAATCACCTTACACAGAGAGGCCAACATATTACTACAAATCCCATGATTCTCACAGACATGAATGAAATGTTTGAACAGGTGAACATCTTTAGTTTGGAGTCCTCTAATCAGTGCCCAGGCCTCAGAGATACATCTGAAACATATAGCATAACCCATAATAATAACTGTAGACTCCAATGTGCGATAATTACAAAAACACCAAAGGAACTTAGGTTCCTAAGAATCATTGTGATTTACTTGTTGTGTATTAACACATCCACACAGAGTTTGATGTCTTGAATGCTCTCCATGACTGGTGTGCTGCTGTAGAGATATTTCAGTGCTGCTCGATTCTCTCTTGTCTTCAATAAGGTCCTCAGAACAGCACAATGGTGCCATGGCAGTGTTGGAGGACAAGCTCTTGGGCTCAATAAGACATTCATTGAGTCCTGGGAATAACAATGTTCAGAGTTCAATGGGTTTAGACCAATGTAATATGATACCATACAATTTGAGTGATGGTTTTGAAAACATCTCACTGTTACTAATCCGTGATCTAGAAGCCAGAATCCACAGATCTGTTGGGAAAATGCAGATGGGATACTGAATACATGGCAGAATGACTGCAGGAGATCATCCTTACAGTGCAGGAAGTTAGACACATCCAGGACAAAGTACATTATCTGGAGAGGATTTGTTAAAGAGAGTTATCATCCAAACCACAAGAGAGCAACCAAAGCTGAGAATGTAAATTATTTGTAAATGATGCATATCATTATATAATATATTATAATATACACACACACACACACACACACATTACCATTCAAATTCAAATATGTGACCCTAGACCACAAAACCAGTCTTAAGTCGCTGGGGTATATTTGTAGCAATAGCCAAAAATACATTGTATGGGTCAAAATTATTGATTTTTCTTTTATGCCAAAAATCATTAGGATATTAAGTAAAGATCATGTTCCATGAAGATATTTTGTAAATTTCCTACTGTAAATATATCAAAACTTAATTGTTGATTAGAAATATGCATTGCTAAGAACTTCATTTGGACAACTTTAAAGGCGATTTTCTCAATATTTAGATGTTTTTGCACCCTCAGATTCCAGATTTTCAAATAGTTGTATCTCAGCCAAATTTTGTCCTATCCCAACAAACCATACATCAATGGAAAGCTTATTTATTCAGCTTTCAGATGATGTGTAAATCTCAATTTCGAAAAATGGACCCTTATGACTGGTTTTGTGGTCCAGGGTCACAAATTTGGGGTCAGTATGATTTTACATGCCTTTGAAAGAAGTCTCTTATGCTCACCAAGGCTGCATTTCTTTAATCAAAAATATTGATTAAAGTAATATTTACCCGTGAAGGTAAAGCTGAATTTTCATCAGCCATTACTCCATCATAGGATATCATAGGATTTTTTGATGAGTAGAAAGTTCAAAACAACATAATTTATTTATTTATAATTTTTTGGTAACATTATATATTATTATGTCTTCATTGTAGCTTTTAATGTAGTACTGTTTTTTTTCAATAAATAAATACATAAAAATCTTACTGGCCCCAAACTTTTGAACGGTAGTATGAAATACTATCCAAAGTATTTAAATTGCTATAAAAGGCTATTTAATGGTTATTCAGCTCAATAAAACAAAAAATGGAAAATATTTACAAATATATTTAACCATACTGGGATATTATTCTGGAACAGAATTGTGCATTAATGAATAACATAATATTCCAACATAAAATAAGTGTAAAAAAGTAAATAAATATTAAAATAAATATACTATAACTAAATGTTAAAATAGAAATAAGCAGGATACAATGGCTTGGACAGACAGGATGTCAATATTAGGCAGCAGCACTAGCTTTAGCAAAGCTTCTAGAGATGGTGGTGGGTATGTCTGATAGGCACAATCTTCTGAAACCCATACAGGCCCATGTTGTTCATCCATATGAGCCACCATAACCTGAATAAGCGAGCTCCACCGGCACTTATCCTCAGCATAACCGCTGATGAGAGAATATTGATTATTAACATTTCAAATTTCTATTGAATGTTAATAATAATACATGTTTTTGTAGGTTAGAGTGGAAAAGGTAGTCATTACCTCAACTCCAGACATGTTCTCCTGTGTTTCTGGTCCATCTCACACTACATCTGAGATAACCTCTTCATCTCATGGGCTTCTGAAAAAGACACAAAGCAAACACAAATGAACATGAGGACATAATCAATTACAGTGTACTTTGTCCTTGATTTTAAAATTCAAAAGTGAAATGATCAGTTGCTTTCTTTCTCTTTCTTTTCTATTTTAATAGATCATTTTAACAGACCAAAGAAAACAACTCACCGGGGTGTTTGGGCAGAAGTCCTGTGATGCTCCACCACTGCACCAGGCGGCCCAGCAGGATGTGTTGCCAGATGGCATGATGGTCTTGTTTCAAACAACCCCATATATCTGAAGCCCTGCTTCCTAGTGTACACATCCCACATGGGACACCCATGAACAGAGAGTGAAAACCATAGTAGCAATTTGTTAGAGCACTTCATATTCCAACATTTAAAAAAATATTTCAACATGTTTTTCCTTCATGATAATCATATGCATATTTGGTTGTGCAATCAATCAATCAATCATTAGTACAGACTTATTATTACACGTTATTATTACATACTGTATACTAAATTGAATGAACTGTACAGTTGTTTTAAAAAAAAATACCAAACCATTTTCCATAAAAGGTCTCCACACTTTGCATTTATTTGTAAAATAATTATTACACATTGTGTATTATTACACAGACATCCTAAAATTGACACATTTGATAGGCACTCTGCATTGAATTCACTGTTTGAAAAGCTGTCATAGTTGTGAATGCATATTTAGATCATGTGCATTTATATTTTACTGATGACTCAGTCAATAAAGTCAGTAAGAAAGAAAGAAAGCAAAGGAGAAAAAGAAAGGGAAAAAAATTGTTTGCATATAAGTGAAAAGTATGGAGCGCCTTAAAGGGAAATGGTGATGGTGTAATAAAAAAATAAAAAAAATAAAAAAAACCGATAGGAGGAAAAATTATACTTCAATGTTTGTGCTCTCTCGAAAAATTCCCCCGTTCACTCACAAAACGTTTTTGATGGAAATATGATGTACTGTGCATTATACTATACTGTACTGCTTAATATAATATGCTGTATATTTCAGTGCTTTTGGATACGAATGCAAAGTTTAGTTTTTTTTTCTCTGGGCATCGCAATAGTTTTGCAAGAGAATGTTAATGTTTTGCGAACAAATGCGAAGCTTTCCATGGGAACGCGAAGTTTTTGCAAGAGAATGCAAATGTTTTGTGAGAGAACGCAGAATTTTTAGGAGAACACAATGTTTGTGAACAAATGCAAAAACATTCAAATATAAATTTTCCTCCCGTCCTCATATTTTTCCGTCACCATGTCCCATTAGGGGGTCCTTACAAGAGACTCAAAATACGGCAACAAGTCTCCAAACTGACCATGTTTAGAGTGCAGACAGTTACTGTGTTTCTGTATTAGGTGGACCAGAGAAAGCAGGTTCTTCCAGCTTGAGGAGCAGTTTATGGACTAGAGCAACAGCGTTTTCATCCAAACACATCCACAAGCCTTTACATCGACCGAAACCTACAATCAGAGAAGAGCCAGGTGAGCTTTATCTGAACACCCCAAACAAAAAAAAGGTAAACCTCAATGTTTAATAAGATTTCACCTACTCACAGAGCATTAACAGCTCCTTCTTGGCCAGTTCTGCTGATCTCTCAAGCCAGCTGTTAAAACTGGCCACACGTTCACCTATAGAGAAACAGCACATCAAACCATTTGTGTCACACCACTGTGATCTATATTGGATTGAGAGTATGCACAGGTACAATATAAGACATTGAATTCTTACCTTCAGTATAGAGGCCTCGTAAGCAGTCAATGAGGCCTTTGATATTGTTGTCTGTTAATGCTTTATTCCATGAGACTTCTGTGTTTAGCATCATCCTGATATTCCAGAAGGAACCTTCCAAGAAACCTTAAAGACATCAACTACCCAATAATAGAAATCGTAGCCTTAATGGTAAGGCCTTAGTTGAAACATATTCAAAGAAAGGAGAAAAATCATTTGTGCTGTTTAAACTGTGAAAAAGTAAAAAATGTAATGCTAAATAGTTAGTATAAATGCTTGTAACATTCATTCATCAATACAGTAGAGATAAATTGTCCATGCTTTGGTCGATACTCATAAACATTGTGGTAACCAGTACTCACCAGATAAAGCACCTTTCAGTATCCAGTGGTCCTATATGAGGCGCCCGGTATCCAGATCTGCTGACTACAGTAGTTTGAATGTGCTTTCCCCTGACTCAATCCCCTTTACGCCTGAATAATCCTTCGGATTTCATTGGCTGTCAGTGCATATGGTATTACATGAAATATGCACATTAACTCAGGAGTCCTTCATATAAAGAATGCCCATGATATACAAGAAAGCAACAGCCTCAGTCAGGAGATGGTTTACTAATAAAGAGGAATTTTATATGATAAAAGTATATTTTTTAAGCCCAAAAATAATATGTACTTGTTTTGTTATGTTTTACCTTTATTTTTTGTGTTTTGTTTGATTATTGGGTTTTATTTGTTTATTTTACACTCTTGATAAATGTTTAGTTTATTTATTTATTTGTTTGATTGTTTGATCTATTTTGCAATATTTTTATTTATTTTTAGAAGACAAAATAAGGGTCTTGTGCAAACTGTGTGAGGAATTAGAATGTGTTTGATATAGGTCACATGGTTTTGGTACACATAAATATTACCTGTTTTGGTAGAAGGGGCAAATTTAATCCCAATGTTATTGATTGATTGATTGATTTAAAATGGGCAATTTAAAATAAATTACATATATTTTAAAATAAATAAGTTTATTATGTAACTAAGCTACTAAGTAAAATATTCAATATTTGTATGCAAATAGGATATATAAACGGTAACATAAATGAAAAGAAGGTGCCATTTAACACAGTAATGATATAACAATTAAACTACATGACTTTTAGTAGCTCTTTCCCTTCTTCACTCTCAAACTTACACACACACATCCCAGTCAGTGAGATTTGTGCTGGTGGCAGAAGGTACTCTTCCAAATCCAACTGGGCTGCTTACTGATTAGAAGGAATTATGAGAGAGTCTGCGGCAGACACTAACACACACACACACACACACACACATCAGTTTTCATTAGCAAACAATGCATTCAGATTGTTTCACAAAAATCAAGGACATCTGATGAAGAGAAAGAGAAAAATCACTCGGAATAGGGCGGGATGCCATTGAGCGATGGATAGACATGAAGGGGTGAGTAATAAGATGTTTATTACTATCCTTATGCTGGGATCATCTCACTCACTATGCCTGGAGGACAAGCCCTATGTCTGTACATTCAGGTGAACATACTTGGTACTGCTATTTTAAGATTTCGAGGAGTATTCTTAGCTTTTTTGAAACATTATATGGCTAAAAAAATAAAAAAGGTAAAAAGCTAACCCAAAAATCTACTGTAAAACCTAAATTAACTGGATTAATTTAATCCCCCCCCCCCAAATTTTTTTTCATATAACTGAGTCTATCCCTCTATTTTTATCAGACTCATTATCCCAGTCAGTGAGATTTGTGCTGGTGGCAGAAGGTACTCTTCCAAATCCAACTGGGCTGCTTACTGATTAGAAGGAATTATGAGAGAGTCTGCGGCAGACACTAACACACACACACACACACACACACATCAGTTTTCATTAGCAAACAATGCATTCAGATTGTTTCACAAAAATCAAGGACATCTGATGAAGAGAAAGAGAAAAATCACTCGGAATAGGGCGGGATGCCATTGAGCGATGGATAGACATGAAGGGGTGAGTAATAAGATGTTTATTACTATCCTTATGCTGGGATCATCTCACTCACTATGCCTGGAGGACAAGCCCTATGTCTGTACATTCTGGTGAACATACTTGGTACTGCTATTTTAAGATTTCGAGGAGTATTCTTAGCTTTTTTGAAACATTATATGGCTAAAAAAATAAAAAAGGTAAAAAGCTAACCCAAAAATCTACTGTAAAACCTAAATTAACTGGATTAATTTAATCCCCCCCCCCCAAATTTTTTTTCATATAACTGAGTCTATCCCTCTATTTTTATCAGACTCATAAAATTATGCAATCATGTTCTTCTCAATAGCCACCCATTGTCTCAGCTGTTGCTAAGGATTTTTTTTCTCTCTTTTTGCCTCTTAGATGTACATTTGCAAAAATGGAAATCATTTCAATTTCACTGTGTTTGCAAAGGACCTCACATGGCGTCCCCAAACAGTCTGACAGATCTGAGAAGCCACAAAAACATAAAACGGTTTACATTTGACCAAAAGCTCCTTTTTAAAAGTCTCTTTTTTTACTGATATCCAGTTCTTCTCACAATTTAAAGGGGTCATATGATGCTGCTAAAAAGAACATTATTTTGTGTATTTGGTGTAATGAAATGTGTTTATGCGGTTTAAAGTTAAAAAAACACATTATTTTCCACATACTGTACATTATTGTTTCTCCTCTATGCCCCGCCTTTTTGAAACGCGTCGATTTTTACAAAGCTCATCAGTCTGAAAAAGCGAGGTGTGCTGTGATTGGCCAGCTATCCAGTGCGTTGTGATTGGCCGAATACCTCAAGCGTGAGACGGAAATGTTACGCCCCTCACATACTGTTGATGCCGTGTCCGGCCGGAGCGACGAGACATAAACATTAAAACCCATTACAAACGAGGCATTTGTTGCATCCAGTGGGGACATAATTACTGATTATAATGCAATCATAAACTTATGATTGCATTATAAACTTATAATGCAATCATAAGACAGTATAGACTTATACTGTCTTTTTACGCGTTGCGTTGCATTGCATCGCGCTAAAACCATGTCTGCATTTGTGATAAGAGAAATGACAAACAACAAGTGCTAACATTAATCCACACTGCCCAAAACTCGCGTTTGAATCATAAGTGGCAAATCCTTTAAATGAAAACGTACTTACAGACTGAGAGTCAGAAATGCCGGCATTGTAGTCTACTCTTCCAGGAAACAGTC